CTATAGAACTCCAGGTAAGGACACCAGCCGTTTGACCTTGAACGCCGCCGGCCGGCCGATGACGTCATTGGAGGCAAGCCGGCTCGGCGGACACACAGGGCGAATGCATAACGGAGGGGCGTTGGAACGTTGCGGGAGCCAGGGAGATATTTTAAAGTGGTTGCATATGCATACCACCATTGTTTGTTGATTGATCTACAGACTGCATCCTTTTAAACCTCGATGCATCCTAGGCCTGGATGGTGCGTACATTCGTGGAACGATCACCCCGTCCGACGTTTGTGGTCGAAGCTGTCATAGTATTTAAGACACTAAGACGGGTGCAATAACGGCGATCCGATCCCGTCTCTGGCGAATTTAGAGGGGTCGTAAGGACCCAGGCCGAATCTGACCGTCTATTTTTAGGGAAACGGGGTGGGTGAATTGACAACCGATGGCTTAAGAGATGATGAGAAGGGATCCCGTCGTCGTCGATTGTTGTTTGACAGACAACACATGTTGTACTGGGCGTATGACCATCAGAGGTAATGCCTGAACGTAGGCAAGCATAATTGGTCTGTTATATTGTTTAGGAATATAAAATGGTAATGGAGATCATTGAGGATATGATCTCTACATTACGGGAATTCACTAATTACTACGGCCCATAGGGGCACCGCCGGAGCTGTTGTTTTGTCATCGGTCCCAGGCAACTCCAGGGAGCTTCAGTACCCGGCGGCCAAAGCGGCCACGGGCCACCTCGTCGACTCGCAGGTCCTCTGGGATTTCGTGATGCTTTAGTGCTTCACCCACAGAAGCACGGGCATAGCAGTAGGATGTGGGGCTAGGTGTCTCTCCACCTCTTCATTCAAAGAACAACGTGTACAGCGCCTGGTCCCGCCGAAGCTCGGTATCGACCGTGACTTATTCACAACTGGCGGATCCAGGAAGCGGTATTGGACACTGCGGGGGCTTACCCCAAAAAGTTTTCTCGGAATTAATTTTAAAAAACTCGGATTTCGATTCCTTGCGCACTGCTGTGCGGTGTGATTAACCAACATTTCCTCAGAAAAGTTGTGAAGTTTTCATTTATTCTCGAAAATCGATTTCGGCCACTGCCCTGGTTGTTGGGGAAGACATTTGCCCCAAATGCCTTCCCCTGGATCCGCCAGTGGCCGTTGCCCCACTCCGAGCTTGACTAAAGACGTCTTCAAACCTCACCAGAAACCGATGGTAAGGTGAATTTAAATCCAATAACTCATCTCTGTCTGCCCGCCTAAATATACTACACATGGTACAGCACCCGGCCCTGTCGGAGCTATGAGCCGATCGTGATATTTTCGGCTTTCCCCATCCCAAGCTCGATTAGAAACGTTCTCCTTCCCCACCCGATTGCTGATGTCAATTCAAATTCAATGCCTCATCTCGGTCTGCCCGACCATAACCCATTCCAAGGCTATAGAACTCCACCCATTCATTGCACACCGTTCAGCGCCCGGCCCCGCCAGAAGTATCCTAGCGCGCTGAGCAGTTGCCTCCAGCCGCGTCATCGCGAGGCCCCGCGCGGCCCATAAATGAATACATTGCGCGAATAGCCGTGTCGCCCCCCTGGTTTTGCCCTGCTAGACCCACGTGTGAGGCTCGAGTTTGAACTCACTGCACAATATGAATGGGTTCTTGTAGGTACTATCTGTTGGGCAGAATTTTGTTCAGGTCGGATATAATTGCAAACGGTCCAAAAAAATACAAGTTATTCAGCGTATATTACTTGATATAATGAGTGGTTACTTTTGCCAGGCACGTATCCAGGATTTCGCTCAGGGAGGGGCGACAGCCAAGAAGGGGCCCGTGGGTCAGCTCAAAGGGGCCCCACAGAGACCGTCTATCCTGGTGTGAAAAATTGAGAATGTAAAAAAACAGTGAATTTACGATAGAATTCGCCATATCCAATTTTTTGTATACCAGAGGCCAGTTTTACCAACAGAAAAATAGCCGCATGCCGGAATTTTTTGCCTAAAGACCGCTTTGACCTGACCTTAAAAATGATTGAGGCATTTCTAACATTATTTTTTACGCTTTTTCGATTGTCGCTTACTGCGTGTCACTACGTGGCCCAGGAGCCGAGTTAGATGGGAGCGTGACCCCCCCCCCCCTCCCCCAGCACAACAAGGAAAACTCAGGCCACAAGCACGGCGCGGGTTAACATAACATGAGTTACCTATTAATCTTGTATTACCTCTTTGCACCCCACTAACATTGGCAGACGATGCTTTTCAGACTCATTTCCATATATTTATAACATTGTACCTATATTCCTCTGCCTCATAACACCATGGGGCACAGCACCATTAAAACATATTTGGTCCTATACACAAACATAAACAGTTAACACCTTCCTTCACGCATTGTTGCATTTGCGTGGCCCGTCTGGCCAAGCCGGGACGGGGCTAACGGGCCAAACGCCCCGGCCCGGGGAGAGCTGGGGTATACCTCCCGGCTCCCCGGCCGGGGAGATTTGGGCTGCATTGTTCATCCATTCATCCATTGTGTTGTGTTGCTCACGCTAACATATTACTCATTCTTGTCAGTTCAACTATGAAATCAGTTCAATGAGCAGCTCAAATAAAAAACATGCGAATTTGAGACTACGTTCTGTACAGAATGCTCTGTGAACTATGGAGCTGATTTTGTTTGGAGAACAGGAGCAGTCCCACGTCGGGTCAGTCGAAAGGGGCCCTTCATCGGCTGTTGCCTGCTCCTCGGACCCGATGGCATTGGCAAGGCCTTCTCAGCGGGCCCTTCCGTTTTTGGGGCCCAGCCGGGACAAGCTGTTCCTGAGACTGCAGGCCCGGAAGCGCATATCTGGGCCCGTTTTCTTGGTAGGTACTAGGTACAGGTCTCGCGGGTTTTAGCGGTAGGTTTTGTACCTAGAAAATTTAGTGTACTTCACTCTTCAGGCTATATCTTCGTCGTCTTAAGCTTTTAAGTGTTGAAGATGCGATCGACTTGTTGGGTAGCAAGCCGGCCATAAAGTGCAAAACCTACCGCTTAATCTCGCGAGACCTGTACATTGCCGAGGTCAAGGGCCCATTACTCAAGCTCAAAAGCCTGGTTCAAGGCCTTCTGTGCGCGGACTTTTCCGCTTTTTTGAGACATCCTGGGTCCCAGGTTTTCATTGGCTTGGCCCGGTCCGCTTTTGGGGCCCGTCCCGTATGGGCCCACGGGGCCCTTTTTTGGACCCGAAAGCCTGGACAAGATCTTCTCAGCGGGCCCTTCCACTTCTAGGGCCCAGACAGGCAAAGATGTCCCAGTGACTGGCCCCGGAAGATTTTTTTTCGGATCCGGTTTCCATAACTTTTCCAGGGCCAATTAGCTCAAAAGTGGGACCTTCGGGCCCGATAAGGATTTGGGGTCCAAAACTGATAAGGTTTGGGCCCGGCAGGGCTAAAGGGGCCCTTCCTCAAGCCTGAAGACACGGCCATATCCTTCTGAACGGGTCCTTCCGCTTTTGGGGCCCTGCCGGGCTCCAAATTGGCACTTTTGGGCACTTTTGGGCTCTGCCCAAAAGTGGGACCGAAGGGCCCAGTTACGGACCCGTTTGTGGCCCGGCAGGGCCCCAGGGGCCCTTCCTCAAGCCTGAAGACACGGCCATATCCTTCTGAACAGGCCCTTTCGCTTTTTGGCCCTGCCGGCCCCAAACTGTCCCTGGCTAGGCCCAAAAGCGGGCCCCGTTCGGGCCCGCTTTCGGGCTGCCTAGCGGGCCCTGCCGGGCCTGCTTTTGGGGCCCGGCAGGGCCCAGGGGGGGGGGGCGACCGCCCCCGTCGCCCCCCCCCTTGGATACGTCCCTGACTTTTGCCATGATCAAATAATTAAAACATCAAATAATTTAAACAATACAGAGATTCCGAAATGCGGGTGAGTTGCTCAGGTCTCTGCAGGGTGGACCCTTTTGAATCCGGATTGAACTGATAGCCTTACTTCTTGGCTGCTATAAAAAACCTGGATAAGCCAAAATTTGATGCCTTCCTGACATAACATGATACAGATTGGTAATAGTTGGCCTTCCGTAATTTCAAAATATTCTTCCAAACTATAACCACAGTGGTGATATTCAGTAGCTTTCCATGTTGCACATGAGATCGGGGTGGAGGTCATCTGGAGGTCATCGACACATCAAGATCGAAGCCCGTAGAGCCACAAATAATAACTGCACCTGCGACAACCAGAGGAGTGAGCTGTGCAGCCCATTCTCGGAAGGCGAACTATCGGCAGCGCTCGCAAAACTCTAGAAAGGGCGGGCCCCAGGCGTAGACGGCATCACCAACGACATGTTGCAGCAGCTGTCCGCCACCGCCAAGCGCCACCTCCTTGCGCTATGCAACAAGTGCTGGAAGTCAGCGGAGGTCCCGGCTGCCTGGCGCAGAGCCGAAATCATCGCTATCCCGAAGAAAGGAAAAGATCCAGCAGACCCGAACTCGTACCGGCCCATCTCGCTGCTCAGCTGCACCAGCAAGTTCTTCGAGAGAATGGTCCAGAACAGGCTGCAGTACTGGCTCGAGGACCGACAACTGATAAACACCAACCAAGCGGGATTCCGGCGCCTCCACTCGACTATGGACCAGATCATCAGAGTCACTTAGTCCGTCTTCGACGCCTTCGAGAAGCCGAAGCCGGAGCGTGCGGTCCTTGCCCTGCTGGACTTCCAGAAGGCCTACGACAGGGTGTGGAGAGACGCCCTCCTCGCCAAGCTGGGCCGCCTGGGAGTGCCTGCACACGCGGTCAAGTGGCTCCGCAACTTCTTTAGCGATCGGAGAGCCAGGGTCAGGTGGGGCAACAGCACATCAGACTGGAGGGTCTTTCCAGAGGGCCTACCGCAAGGCTCGGTGCTCGCGCCCATACTATGGCTGGTGTATATCAACGATGTCGACAAGAACGCCCCAAACGACTCTACCTGGTCTCTGTTCGCCGATGACGTCGCCATCCTGGCCACGGGACCGTCCCTGGAGTCATGTGCAGCGAAGATGCAACCAGCGCTGGACACAGTCGCGTCGTGGGCCCGGGACTGGAAGGTGCAGGCGAGCGCATCCAAGTGCTGCTTCACCACCTTCACCCTCGACCCAAAGGAGTGCGGAGGCAAGGTGGTACCGACGCTGAAGTTCTCAGGAGAACCTCTGAGGTACGACCCGAACCCGACTTTCCTGGGCATCACCTTCGACGACCAGCTAACCTTCAGCAGCCACATCTCCTCCCTCAAGGACAGGATGGCGAAGCGCAGACAGTGCCTGCAAGCACTCGCGGGGAAGACCTACGGAGCGCACCGCAGGACTCTCCGAACGGCCTACATCACCTACATCAGATCGGTCTTCGAGTACGGTGCGGCGGTGTACTTCACTCACGCCTCCCCCGCCCTGCGCGTCAAGATCGAAACTGAACAAAACAGGTGTGCCCGCATAATCACCGGATGCATCCTCCCGACTAACACAGCGGCTCTGCTGGCGGAGGCGGACCTCCCCGCCCTGACAGTACGGGCCAAGGAACTGGCAGCTACCGAAGCCAGCCGCATCGCTCGCCTGCCAGCGGAAGACCGAGCCAAGCAGCTGCTGGAACGAGACCCCCGACCTCGCCTCAAGTACCGCGCGCACGAGGCCTGGAAACGGGCCTGCGCACAAGCTGCTGAGGAGGGACGACCGGAGCCAGCCCTGCCGGATGAAGACGCCCTGCTGCCCCACAAGCCATGCCTACGCAGAGTGGGCCAGTGGACTCTGAGGGAGGCGGGAGTGTCGGGCTGCCCAGCGGAGCCGTTCCTGAGGGTGTCACCGGAGCCGCCGTGGTCGGCCCATCAGGGGTCAGTGACCTTCATCGTGGACCTACCAACCACCACGCGGCGGACAGACCCACCTGACAAGAGGAGAGAGGCGGCAGAGCGCGCCCTGGCCGCCCTGCCCGCGCCAGACTGCTCCATATGGAGTGACGGCTCGGCGGCCGGAGGCACGTCCAACGGAGGAGGAGGAGCGGCCATCATCCTGCACCGGGAGAACGACCGCAGGATCGAGTGCCTGGCAGCTGCAGGCACCCACTGCAGCAGCACCAGGGCGGAGCTGGTGGCAGTCCGGGAGGCACTTAAGTCCCTGGCGAGCCTGCCGGCCGACTCCCTAGACGCCATCAAGGAGATCCGCCTTTGCACCGACTCCAGGGCGTGTCTACAGACGCTCCAGCGCGGGCAGGCAGCCCAACAGGAGGAGCTACCGGCGAGCATCTGGGCCTCTCTCCATGACCTCACGTGTTCCGGGAAGCACGTCACCCTCCAGTGGGTACCGGGGCATGCTGGCATCCCTGGTAATGAGGACGCCGACAGGCTAGCCAACCGAGCCGCGGCAGAGCTAAGCCAGGCAGCGGTCCCGCTGGACATGGCCGGCGCCCGAGCGGCGATACGCCACAGATCCGCCGAGTGGACCGCAGCCCGAGCCAAAGCTCATCCTCACCTACCACCCACGCCCGGACACGAGGACCTGACCAGGTGGGAGCAGGTGACACTGTCTCAACTGAGAGTGGGAAGATCAGTGCTCACAAGGAAGACTCTCCACGAGATCGGTCTTGCGACAAACCCCGACTGCCTGAACTGCGAGGAGGAAGACTCGGTTGCACACTTGCTGACCGAATGCCCAGCGTACGCCCGCATGAGGTCCCGCCTGTGGGGCGGACCTCTGCCGAGCCTGGGGCATGTGCTGGGCGGATCAGCGACTCTCATCTTCGAGTACCTGCGGCGGGTGGGCCGTGTCGACCCCCCGGTCGACGCTGCCACGGCCGTGGCCGCCCCGGCGGCCACGGCGTGACGTGTAGAAGAAGAAGAAGAAGGTCATCTGAGGCTCGGCGCGGCAAGGTCATATGGTTGTTCCTGCTCATCAGTCATCGGCTGTGTCAATAGCAACGGGACGGGTGATCCTTGATGTTTACCAGGCCAGCTATAGGGAGTGCTTGTGGAAAAAAAAATAACTCACCTTGGTGTACGTTAATTGAGCTATCATGCAATCCTTCTAGTCTACGTATCTGAACGATTTAACAAGGGTTTGTGCAATGGGCGTAATTAAAGTACCTTCTATGGAGCTGTTTGTCTCTGGCTGTTAGGTCCTTGACGAGATGTGATGGAGCATGTCTGACTAATCTGGTTCAGGTGCAATGTCAAACACAAACGCGATTGGTTGCCCAGATTTGAGTGGGATCACGCCTACGTCCTGTTCATTGTGTCAAAATTTATCTTTGTGCGGGGATCAACCATTCACATAATTGCCATCAATCAGTGAAGTGATTGCAAAAAAAGAAAGAAAAAAGATTCAATATCATGAGCTTACATGAAATGATGCTAAAAAAATGCACCTATGGCTATCACCTATGGCAGATGGCCTCACAAATTTATCTAAATTTTGGTGCACAGAAGTTTAACCTATAGCCAATTGAAACCATCAAACACTTAAAAATTCACTCGAACTGGACTGATACAACGAGCAAAGACACCGAAAGTAGACCAGGCGCTGTCCGAACCTCACAGCCGCTTCCCTGGCTCCTAATGTTACTGGAATCTGATAGTCTGCAATTCGGTGAGTATTACAGCAATAGTCCCCTCAATTCTCGTTCATTGAAGATGCACCCCGCTAGTTGACACAATGGGGCATTTCAATTCCTACTTTAGTTAAGTACTGTTTGCCATGTTTGACTGGAGTAACGCGCCCGTTTCATAATTCAGGGTTCTACTTTGAGACACAGTAGCCCACCTCCCTCCGATTTTGACCAATATTGTGGATTAGTGTGCTTAACCTGACTCGAATTATCATTTCTTCCCAGCCAGGATGATCAAACGGCATGCCGGATTTGTTCGCGTCGGGGGCACAACTGAGAGCTGTGTAAGTCGTCGCGCTTCCCCGGTCGGCGGTGGTATCGGCGGCATCCATGGCGTGAGATTCAACGACTTCCTTGATCGATCTTCTACGGTAACATTAGCACGCTGTCGCATTTACTCACTGATCAATAAGGTATCAACCCGCTTGGTTATCAGTAACTTGACCGTACTCATGCGTTAAAAGCTATCAGGTTTTTTCCAAGGGCTTAATTTTGTGAGATACCGGGATACAACCGAGTTCCGCGTCGATATCATTATGAGAGACCCTGTTATCGTTAGGCGAAGTCAGCACGCATAGTGTGTACCACCACTGCGACCTCTCATGGCAGGACTGGGAACCAGAGTTTATTCTAACTGACACCAGGCGGCACGCAAGTGCTTCTCGGTCTGCGGCGGCGCTGGCCGGACCGCGTGTGGTCGGCGTTAGGTAATTCCTTGTAGGTGGCGCTAGTGGCGTGCCGTTCTGACCAGGGGTCACAACGCAAGTGGAATTGACGCTTGTGGATGCCCAAAGTGGCCCTTCCCTTTCGTGCTGGTGGGATGGGTTTTGCAGTAAGCCTGTACGGCTGCGCGCGGAACCGTGAAAGATTAACGAAAACCCGAGCTAACCGCATCGAACTGAGGTCTAATTATGAACGTTACTGAGTTCGTTGCACGAACCCCTTTGTCGTTGTTGAATAATTTTAAGGTCGTGCCGCGCGTTCAGGGGTCTGGGAAGGCGATACTTAAACTTGATAAGACAAACATGATTTAGAATGCTGATTACTACGGAGTGGGAAACCCTATCACTTGTCCTGTAACCTATTCTTGTTAGAGAAATCCTGCATTAACACGTATTGAACGGTTTGTAATACGTATTGAACGGTTCGATTGGGACGGGCTTCTGAAGTCTTTCTACATCAAGTCTAGGCACGTCACCAATGAACCACTGGCATAAGGAGTAGATGTGACCACTTTGCGTTCCTCCCAATAACGTAAGGGCGTCTATCATGGGTATGACAAAATGCGTAATAGTAAGCTATGACTGGTTTGGGTTCTCAATGCAAGGGTAAATGTAACCGATCGCTGAAGATATCCTTGCCCAGGGACCAAGCGCTGAATTCACAGGACAAGTCTTGACGATATGCAATGAGTCGCGTTTCTGGTTTCACCTTACGTTAAAAGTTGGTTTTATTGACTCCTTGAGACATTTCATTAATAGACGGCATTATATTAGGCAATCAAGTCACTACTGGCGGCGATCTTACGTTAAATTTCAATTCAAGTCTGGGGTGCGTGGGTTCGTCACATCTTTATGAACGCTGATGGTAATTAGGCGGAACAAGGCATGATTTGGTAGGCTGACGGTTGGTGAGGCGGATATTCACTTACAGAGTTGAGAAAAAAAGGGGAGAACACTTTTAGAAATTCCGCATAAACATATAACATTGCGTGCAGGTGACTGGAATTAGCACCAAATGACAGTTCATTTCGTGAAAAATCTGGACAACATTAATCTTATCTGTTTTCGGTATACCTAATGGACCGCACAATGAAGTGTTGCTGACTCAAATCTGGGTTATAAGCCAAGCCAGGCGCTCATAGCTCCGTCGTGGTGACAGTTGACCCCCTGGCTCGACCGACCGCTCCGCTGCGTGTGGTGCTCAACCTCGGTCGCTGTGTGTGCAGTGCGGGCGTCATATTTCCACCATGTGACTACTGATCGTAAGTGGTTGGTTCTGGCGTCAATGATCTCCTGGATACTCGTCTCGCAACGCAATATAGCTACCCATTTCCCTTTCCCAGACAGGTTGTTTAATTTTTCACGCTTTATTTTACACTACACGGACAATTAATGACAGAACTAACCAATGTGCTATTGCTAAATCGTACTCGAGATTGTCAACTTGTCAATCCCGTTGTTTACTTAAACCTAACCCTAACAAACGCGGCCTACCTTATTCTCAATTCTAGACTCAATTAGTGACAGGATCGCGGCGCATCAAGTGATACGTTACCAAATGGTTTCGACCATTGGCGGCGCGCTGGCACGACGGCCGGGGACCGGTGCCGCATGACGTCACTTAATGATGTCAGAACTTTCACCCCTCCTATCCCGTCCTCACACCTACCCCCGGCCCTGGCGGTCGCGTACAAAGGAGCGTAAATGGTCGGCAAATGGTCCCGGCTCCGACACAAATGTAAATGAACCATTGCCGCACTGCCGCCCCCGATTCCCATCATTCAACCCCGCAGCTGTCCCTATCTGCTAATGGTGGCAAGGCCTGACCCTATGGGACGGTAGGTCTAGACTGGGGTAGACGCCCGGTAGATATGGGGGAAGGGGGAGAGAATGCGTGTGTGGTGGGCATGGCTGCAGGGCTGGGAGTGGCAGGCAGCCTTCTGCTGATGACTCACTTGATTTTGGCTTCGAAGATGGAGATTGGTCTTGTTCTTGATGAGGGTTGCACCAGTAAAGTCAGAGAGAGCACTGGTCCAGCCGGCAGAGGCTCCCCGGGTGTTCTGTCCCTCTCCTCTTCTGCGGTCCGATTTTATTCCTTTCGTTATCCGGTTCCGGCGGGGGGTCGATTTCTGTGACCGGGATAGTTAATCGGTCCTTTCCTGGCTGATCTCCGGCGGCAGCCCCTGACCGGGGCTTCGAGAGGAAGCACGTACGGCGTGGCCGAAGCTTCGGATTTCTCCCCTCCTCCGCTGTTTCCGCTGGAGTCGGCCCCCGTTGCGGGTGTCGGATGTGACGTTTTCACACTCGATTTCCGCCGGGTGTCGGTCCTTGGCTGCACCGGACGCGGTGCTTTTCGCACTAGCCAGCACCAGGTGTTTCGCCGGATGTCGACTTCCAGCGATGTCGGACGCAGCTGGCCCGGCCCCGGTTTTTTCAGAGGATGTCGAGGCGCCGGCGTGTCGGTCACTTGCTCGGCGTCGGGTGGGGTTTGTTTGCGTTACCGCCGGCGAGCGTTTGATCTTGGGGCGTCAGCCGCCTTAATGGAAGCAGCTGCTCGGGCGTGTGACCCGGTCTCCTCCTTGGCCCCGGCGTCCCGGCAGACAGGGTACTATGTGAGGCAGTTTATATGTATGAAAAAGGTAAGATTTTGATGAGAAAAAAAATGTCACAGCATTCAGCTGTTACAACTTCAGCTGAGCCCCGGTGGTGACGATCTGGTCAGCAGAGAGGCCGCTCCGGCCGAAGCCGGGCGGGACTGTGTCCTGCCCCGAGTCTCGAGGTGTTCTGCCTCTCGTGGTCGGCCTCCGGTGGTCCGTCTCGGGCCTGTCTCGGGTCTGTCTCAGATCTGTCTGAATCCCCTTCTCCTTCTCCGCTGAGTTTTGTCTCCCGTGATTTCCGTGCCGGAGGTTCCGGGCGTTGCCGGGCCTCCCTGACCGGGGCAGAAAATTGGCGACATCCCGTCTCGCATCCGGAGTCGAGACTGTCACCCTCCTCCCTCCATTCCGCCGGAACGTGACGTCATTCTCACTTTCCCGGGCGTTCGGTCCGGCCGCCGGATGGCTGACCGCAACGACATCCTCCAACCTTCCGTCAGCTGCGTCGGCAGGATGTGCGTGGCGCAAGGGCGTCGGGAGGCTGGTCCAGCACCGGGGGCAGGTGTTTCCGACTGCGGCGCGTTTGTCGGCGGCAGCTGCGCTGGCCCGGATGGGTGTGTTTGTACTCCACCCTTCGGCGAGCCTTTGATCTTGTGTGCTGTCTGTCGGTCGGCGGGGGCAGCTGTGCGGCAGCCGTGTGACCCGGTCGCTTGACCTGACGTAGACGTCCCAGTAGGCGAAATGTAATGAGAAGGTTACACATTATATGTATGGAAGAATATGATTTTTGGGATATATAACAAAATGTCACAGCTAGCTGTTACAGTACCACCCGTGGGACCGACCCTGGACAACTCACACACCACGCGATATCGGACACCTCCCGCGCCGCAGGTCAGATCCAACACTCCCCACACCCACCCTGAACACAGGGACGGTCACAGGTCGTCCCGTGCCCGCGCCCCAGCCGCCGCGGCGACCTGTCACAACGCCAGCGGCTTCTGGCGCAGGTCCACGACGCAGCAGCGCGGGTACAGTCTGACGATCTGCGCCAGAGTTGGCACGTTGACACGCGACGTAGCGCCGCCCAGCGTCAGCTGCGTGGTCACCTCTGAGAAGCTGCTCACTGGCGGCGGCTTAGTGCCGTAGAAGGAGTAAGGCGCAGCGATGCGACGTGCGCCACCTGTCGATTTCAGCGCCACGTCGCGGCCGACGCGCGCGTGACTGAGCCGCGCGCCAGCGGTCGACTTACGCGCCACACCGCGGGGAGACTGGCCGGTGGATCGGGTCGCCGACGCAGGGCCGGGCGGCCTCTTACTGGCCGGACTGACGCCGTCGGTGGAGCGTTTGGTGCCGCGACTGCCGCGGCTGCCGGTGGTGATGTCAGAGCGGGCCGGCGAGGCGGCGCGTGCCGCTGCCGGGCCCGACTGGTCGCGCACAGATCGCTTCATCTGCTGGTACTCGCGCTCCAGGTGGTCGAGCAGCACGACCCGCTCCGGCTCGCCCGGATGCTTTCGGGCGTGGTGGCGTGACACGACGGTGCGCATGCCGTTCACGTAGCCACACGTCTCACACTTGTAGCGCTTGTAGTGCGATAGTAGATGGGCGTCAACGTAGGTTACGCGGGAGCCCGTGTAGCTGCACAGGGGACACCGGTACGAGCCCGGCGGGGCAGCTGGAGGTGTCGACGACGGCCCGGCCGCCGCCGCTGGGGCGTCCACGACAGACGCACTCTCAGACCTCAGATCACCGGCATCCGAGTCACCAGGAGGTGGCTCGATCGGGTGTGACGACAGTGGCGCACTCGCGACGCTGGGCTCCGCTTTACGTGCCGTGTACGATTCCACCTTGAGCTCCAGCTGTGGATGTTTCCCTGCGTGGTGCGCTTCACCAATAGCTCGAGTTGCGAAACGGGTCTCCTTGCACCATCTGCACTTGTAGCGGACCTGGCGATCGTGCGCACGTGTCGTGAAGTCAGTAATAGGCGCACCTGGGTGCACGTTTGTCAGATGGGCGCGGAGCAGGGGCAGCTTGGCCGTCATGAACGGACAATGGTTGCAGGCGTACCGCTGCATCTGTTTGATGATTTTGAACCGCTGGTTGCTGTGCTGTGCCTTCCAGTGACCGCGCAGCTGCGGAATTGTGCCGTGCTCGTCGCAGAAGCCGCACTTGTAGATGGGCGCCGACGGCGACTCGGCCGCTGCCGCGGGCGGAGGCACCACCCGCCTCGGTGACGCCTCGGCCTCAGAGTTCGGCTCTTCCTCAGCCGCCGTCTGCGGAACCGGCTCCGGCTCTGCTGTCGGCGGCGCCGCTTCATCGGGCTTAGGTTCGGGCCCGGCCTCTTGCTTCTCCTGTTTGGGCTCCTCGTCGGCGGGCGGCCTGCCCTCGATCTGCCGCTCCTGGTGGTCCAGCACCGCCTCAATCTGCAGACGAAACGCATTACAGCCGTAATCGCAAAGATACAAGAGATGATCCATTGGGAATACACGACCATCCTCAGCCCATTTTCTGCCACATCCATCTGTCTGATATGAGTTCGTGTACCGACGAAAAATAAGATGACAAATTACTTGAATATGCTGCATCAATTCAATGCTCCAGAGCGAAAACAAATTAGCACCAAAACTGACAGCTATGGTAACTATTAGATAAGTAACCAAATGACTGCAAGCACCATAGCATCCCAGAGAAAGTATATCGGTCACTGAAGTAAGAGTGCACCTCTGATTATAAACAAATCAATTTTAGTCCAATGATAGATCGAACGGACAATCTAAGATAGCAAACATGTCTACGCAGCCATCAACCCTCTGAAGGCAGGTAGCGGTGAAAGCTTATCCTGGAAGCAAGCTACCAATGTAATTACTAATTACTGATAAGTGCGAAGTATGTGAAAACGTCGCGTAACAAAAAAAAAGAACAGGCATTATTTGATGATACCTCCGGTGACTAAACAACACCATAAAATGCGTGCCTTGTCAATCAAACACAGTAAAGGGGAAATATGACATACTCACCAGGCGCGGAGCTCCTTCCAGAGCCGAAATCTTGCGGCAAAGGAGGGGGATTGAGAAAAACAGAGGAAGAAAGGCGGGAAGGTAGAGATGGGGATGAAGGGAGAGAGAGAGAGAGAGAGAGAGAGAGAGAGAGAGAGAGAGAGAGAGAGAGAGAGAGAGAGAGAGAGAGAGAGAGAGAGAGAGAGAGAGAGAGAGAGAGAGAGAGAGAGAGAGAGAGAGAGAGAGAGAGAGAGAGAGAGAGAGAGAGAGAGAGAGAGAGAGAGAGAGAGAGAGAGAGAGAGAGAGAGAGAGAGAGAGAGAGAGAGAGAGAGAGAGAGAGAGAGAGAGAGAGAGAGAGAGAGAGAGAGAGAGAGAGAGAGAGAGAGAGAGAGAGAGAGAGAGAGAGAGAGAGAGAGAGAGAGAGAGAGAGAGAAAAAGGAAGTGGAGCAAATACAGAGGAGAGGATAGTGAAATCAGTCACGTCACTCACCCACTCTTCCTGCGCCGAGTCGGGAGTCAGCGAAACGATGGCCTCGGGTAGTCGGGCCACCTTATGCATCATCTCGTGGTGGCGCTTCATGTTGGCCATCGACATGTTCATGTGGCCGCAGTTGCCGCACACGAACCTGAAGCACAAGACGAAGGTGTGAATCGTCAGACAGAGCTATCCAGCTCATAGCGGCGTCACAGACTGAGCGATCACGATTCGAGTTATCACGGACTGAGTTGGTCAGCAGACAGGACGTCATGGAGCTCACCGAGTCACCGAGCCATAACGATCTCAGTTGTCGTGAACTGAGCTAGTACGATATCAGTAATTGTCACGGATTGAGCTATAGCGATCTCAGTTGTCGTGGTCTGAACTAGTACGATATCAGTTGTCACGGACTGCGCTATTACGATCTCAGTAAACACTGGACTGAGCTGCTACGATCTCAGTTGTTGTGGATTAAAGGGACCCTCCCACCTTCAAAAAAGTTTATAAATTGGCATGAAAGTGATGTCGCTCGGTTCAGAAAGAGCGAAAAGGAATATCTACCAAATTCAGTGGCGGATCCAGGGGGGGGGGGCTGCGGGGGCTGGCAGCCCCCACCCAAGGAAAACTGGCGCCACTGCGCCGAAGGCGCAGTGGCGCCAATTTTCAATTCGCAACTCATCGGAGTGCCGCATACTAGGACTAGGATGCAAAAATCAGTCGAATAACGTCGTTTCAGTACGCTCCGCACCGATATTTCCAATCGTGTGGTGTCACTGTACATACTGATCCTGGGCGCCTCTTGTCAGGGCCACTGGGCGCCAATATTTCAGCGCCAATACGATGCGACTATGGCGCCCATCCGGGGCGTGGCGCCCAATTATGACCTGCAGCCCCTCCCCAGTGAAAATCCTGGATCCGCCACTGACCAAATTTCACCGAAAAATATTCACCGGTTTTCAATATATTAGACTTTTACTTTTGTTTACTTTTTGGGATCTCCGCTGTTCCTAGCGGAAACAATAGTTTGACAGCTGAAAAAGCGGCACTTGTTGCGCGCAAAGCAGCATATACCACCGCGTGCTACAAAACGTTTTAGTCGAACATTTAAAAATCGTTAGATATCTGCGCTGACGTCACACATTCAGAGGGGTATTCCTATGCATTAGCCCCTCTGAATCAAAATGCTGCAATTTTGAAATTCAATATTTCCGATTTAAGGCATTTCTCGAATTTGTGAGTGCCGAAACCGGTAATTGTGAGCCAGGGACCCCATTTTGGCTATCTCAACTCAAATCTAATGTTAAGGTGGGAGGGTCCCTTTAAGCTATTACGACATCAGTTGTCACAGACTGAGCTAAAACGATCTCAGTCGTCACGGACCGAGCTATAACGATCTCAGTTGTGGACTGAGCTAGTACGATACCAGTTGTCACGGACTGAGCTATAACGATCACAGTTGTCAGTTGTCACGGATTGTGCTATAACGTAACGATCTCAGACGTCGTGGACTGAGCTATTACGATATCAGTTGTCACGGACTGAGCTATACGATCTCAGTTGTCAAGGATTGAGCTATAACGATCTCAGTTGTCGTGGACTGAGCTAGTACGATATCAGTTTCCGCCAGGGCTCTGGCGGAAGCTTACAGCAGTGTGTACTGCTGGGATGAAGACCCGGCTGACGTTCCAGCAATGAATCCCCAGTATGGAGGCCCAACGTTGGAGGAGCTGCGGGTGACGCCGGGGCAAGTGGAGGGTAAACTCCGCGACCTACGCCCGGCAGCATCACCAGGCCCTGACGCAGTCCATCCTAGGGTGTTGCGCGAGCTGGCTGCCCCCCTGTGTGGTCCCTTGACAGACCTCTTCAACCACTCCTTGGCAGACGGAAGAGTCCCAAGAGATTGGAAGCTAGGTCAAGTTGTCCCCATTTACAAAAAGGGACCTCGTAGCGATCCTTCCAATTACCGTCCCGTCAGCCTGACGTCCGTGACGGCGAAAGTGTTGGAGTCGCTCGTGCGTGACGCCCTGTTCGAGCACATGACAGTGACAGGCCAGCTAACTGAATGCCAGCACGGGTTCCGCCCGGGGCGCTCCTGCGCAACGCAGCTTCTCAGCACACTGGAGGAGTGGACTTGGCTGATGGAGGAGGGCGAGCCGGTTGACGTCGCCTACTTGGACTTCCGACGCGCCTTCGATTCAGTGCCTCACCTGCGTCTTCTCCAGAAGCTCCACGACATGGGCGTTAGGGGACGCCTCCTCGAGTGGCTTCGCTCTTTCCTGACAGAGAGAAAGCAAAGGGTCACTGTCAACGGCAGCTTCTCGGACTGGGTCGCAGTCGGCAGCGGCATCCCGCAGGGCACAGTTTTGGGACCAGTGCTCTTCATCGCTTTTGTCAATGACCTACCTGGCTGCGTAGAGAGCGCATGCAAGCTCTTCGCCGATGACACGAAGGTGTACGTCGGAGCGGGCACCGAGATCGGCCGCAGAAGGCTCCAGCAGGATTTGGACGCCCTGGCGGCCTGGTCTCGGAAGTGGAAGCTGCCGTTCAACCCATCCAAGTGCACAGTGCTTCACCTGGGCAGCCAAAACGTGCGGGCGAAGTACACGATCGAAGGTGCTGCATTGAAGACTGTTGACACGGAAAGAGACTTGGGGGTCCAGATGGACAGACTGCTTAAATTCAGGGAGCAGGCGGCGACCGCCATTGGCAAGGCCAACAGAACTCTCGGCCTGATCAAGCACAGCTTCGTCCACATCGATTCCAAGACACTTCCTCTGCTGTATAAGACAATGGTTCGCCCGCACCTAGAGTACTGCAATCAAGTATGGGGCCCGTTCAACACGACCGACGTGAGGCTGGTGGAGCGGGTTCAGCGACGGGCTACGCGCCTTGTCCCTGGACTTCGGCATCTGCCTTACGAAGAACGACTGAAGAGTCTTAAACTTCCCTCCCTCCAGTACCGCCGTCGACGCGGAGATATGATCACGATGTTCAACATCATGCATGGACGCTCCGGCCTGGACAAGGACGACTTCTTCTCGCCCGCCCCAAGTACACGCACCCGCGGCCACCGACTCAAGGTGGCCAAGAAGCCAGCGGTCAGCCGCGTCCGGCGCAACCACTTCGCCACCCGGGTTGTGTCGGACTGGAACGCCCTACCAGAAGAAGTTGTCTGCTCGCCATCGACAAATGTTTTCAAGAACCGGCTGGACAAGCACTGGATGAACTATGCCTTCATCGCTCCACAATAGATAAGACTGTTAATGCTACCCGAGCTCTTTACGACGGATCCACCGGGCAATCCTAGTGCCTTCAATGATCCCCAAATATCAGGTATCAGGTATCAGGTATCAGTTGTCATGGACTGAGCTATACGATCTCAGTTGTCACGGATTGAGCTATAACGATCTCAGTTGTCGTGGACTGAGCTAGTACGATATTAGCTGTCACGGACTGAGCTATAACGATCTCAGTTGTCCCGGACTGAGTTATGGCTATCTCAGTTGTCGTGGACTGAGCTAGTACGATATCAGTTGTCACGGACTGCACTATTACGATCTCAGTTGTCACGGACTGAGCTGCTACGATCTCAGTTGTGGATTAAGCTATTACGATAAAAACCGTCACGGACTGAGCTATTATTATCTCATTTGTCAATGACTGAGCTGCTATTACGGTATGAATTGCCACGGGCCGAGCCAGTGTCCCAAAATTTGTCGATTTGGGTGGGAAACGAGTAACGACATCCAAATGAAAATCATTTTGCACTTTCACTTCCAGTTTTCAAGCCAAATTTTCCACTCCCAATTCCACCGAGAAAGAGCAGTTGCGTGAATGGTTGTTTTGCATCTGTCAGAATTGTAGATAGATTAATGTTTTTCATCATTTTCCCACTCTTTTTGGGCCTTACCTGACCGACGATTTTTCACTCTCATCCTTTCTTTGGTCAGACATTTTCCCCTCTGACACCCAAGCAAAAATATAATTTTGGGACACTGGGCCGAGCTATGCCGATCTCAGTTCTTGTGGACTGAGCTATTATGATATAAGCTGACATGGACTGAGCTATAAATCAGCTCAGTTTCATAAATATATAGCTATGAATCAGTTGTGGACTGAGCTAATTACGATACCAGTTGCTACGGACTGAGCTATCAGATCTCAGTGATCCCAAACTGATTTTTCACGAAATGAGATCACGAACTGAGGCATCACGGACTGAGTTATAACGATCTGAGTTATCATGAGTACTGCGTTTTAATAATCACGGACTGAGCTATCACAGACTGAGTTAGCCAGCAGACAGAACCTCCTATTCATCATGAATGTTTTGAGCACTTCAGACTACTCATATAACTGAGGAAGCAATATCCGCGCGAATCAAAACTACAGTAAAGCCCCCGAACGTTTGATGTCTGATGAATGTCATTACCGGACGTTTGTTACTCACCTGCTGTATCCAAGCTCCTTGTACAGATGCATGGTGAAGTCGCGTTTCCGCCTGGTCCGGTACTTCTTACACCTGGGACAGACGAACTGCTTCGCGTCCACATCTGCGTCGCCCTTGGGCCCGAGCTCACACGACTTGGACTCGAACAGCGATAAGAACTCATCGTCCGTGGCCCGCGCCGGGGCCGCACCGTCAGCCTCAGCCGGCTCCTCCCTGCGTGGAGACTCCGGCTCCGGCTCCGGGACCTCCGGCGCCACCGGCTGCCGCATCCTCCCGGACGTCGTGTGTCGGAGCGCCCTCTTGATGGCCCTGCGGCGCGCCTGTCCAGCCGCCCCCTTCGAGCCGTTTCGGCTGGCCAGCGCCCCGGCCGGCGGCGACGGTAGTGCCGGCCTCTTCACTGGCGACTTCTGACCGGTGGAGAGTTTGCGTTTCATCGGCGAGCCGCGCGCCACCTTCACCTCCTCGATGAGGATGCCGCGGACGTGGCGAATACGGCGCGGGTTGTTGCGCTGCCAGATGGGCTGACACTGCTCCACCTTGGCCGCCGCCTCTGCGTCCGCCTCCTCCACCTTGTTGTAGAGGGCGAACACCGAGACCGGTTCGTCGGGATGCTTGGTGGCAAAGTGCTCGTCGAACTCACTGCGTACGGAGCTGCGCATCGAGCACAGGCCGCACTTGAACTGGTTGCGGCTCAGGCCGTGCCCGGTCGCCACATGTTCGACCACCTCGAGCTGCAGCAGCGCCTGGTACTTGCACAGTCCGCAGCGCCACGGCTTGAAGAGCGGTCGCGACGCCTCGTCGTCGTCGGGCTCTCGCACCACCACGTCTGCCAGCGGCAGCATCGGGTGTTTGTCACGCACGTGTCGCGTCACCAGGCTGCGCTGGTAGTGGTTGTAAATGCAGTACTTGCACTTGTATAGGCGCGGCCCGTGCAGGCGCAGGTGGGCGCTCAGTTTGTCCGGGATCATGTAGAGGTCGGTGCAGTGCGGGCACGGATAGGTGATCATCTGGCCGTGCAGCGCCTGGATGTGATACTTGAGCATGGTGTCGTTGGGCGTCAGGTATACACAGCCAGGGATGCTGCAGATGTACCGCTTATCCTCAGTCACCTCCTTGGGCAGCCGCTCGAGGTCGGCCTGCGACAGCTCCTCGGCCTTCCTGGGCACGCCCACCTCGCCGGAGCTGCTGGCCAGGTTGGCCATCTTGTCGAACATCTTCTCGCCGCGCTGGTCGCACGGCCGCGGGTTGATGGGCGCCGCCACGGGCAGCGGCGCAGTGCCGTCGCTGCGCCGGTGGCACAGCAGGTGCTTCCGCAGATTGCGCGTCACCTTGGTGCTGTAAGGACAGAGCTTACACTGCATCGCCCGGAAGAGGACGGGCCGGTGCGGCAGCTGGTCTATCTCCTCCACGCCGAAACTCTTCTGTTCGGCTCCACTGGCGGCCGGCGGCTGTTCGGCGCGCGGCACGCACTGGCGCGGGTACACCACGAATTGGTCGCGCTCGGGGTCGGCGCGGTCAGCCACCAGCGGCAGCGTGGTGCAGCTCGACATGCGATGCTGCTGCTTCAGGTGCTTGGTCACGGCGTTCGGCATGGACGCACAGAAGTCGCACATCGCACACGAGTAGCGTTTGGGCCCGTGCTGTCGGATGTGCTCCAGGGCCGTGCCGACGTGTTTCACCTGCTTGGGGCAGTGGAAGCAGAGCAGCACGCCGTTCTCACCGTGCGGACAGCTCAGCATGTGGTCCTTGAACGACGGCAGCGTGGGGAAGCGCTCGTAGCACCTGGGGTTGCCGCAGCGGTACAGGTCCTCGGCCAGCAGCGGCGCCGGCTCGCCGGGCGGTGAGGGGGCCTGCGGCGGGCCGCCGGTCGGGTCAGCCGCCTCCTCCAGCTCCACCTGCTCCTCGGACGCCGGACGCTCAGACTCCAGCTCCTGTTTGACGGCGGCCAGCGCGGCGTCGGCTGCCGGCGGGCTGGACGGCGCCGGCGGCAGCTCGGAGCCCAGGCCGGGCTCCTGCTTCACTGAGGTCACTGGCAGGGTCGGCAGCGGCGGCGGCGCCTGGGGCGGCGGCGGGGGAGCAGCGGCCGGCGGTACACCGAGCACCACGTCCATGGACTGAAACACAAGGCAGACCCACTGTCGATCACAACGCTAGTACACAACCAGATGGGGCATTCCACGATAGATCGACCAAAAAACTTAAAATTTACACCCGCATATTTTAGTTTTTGCTTAAAATTGGTCTAACGGTTGTGATGGGCGGGGAACCCAGCTGTGGCAAGGATTTTTTCCTTCGAACAACGGTTTCCGAGATATAGCCTCGGGCAGTTCCTGGAGGTCACGCTGCAACCCTATGTTTGGCGGCTTATAACTCAGAAACTATTGGTTTTCTATGGTAAAAACTTGATATGGTTCAACTCGCAATCAACCAACAAACGTTTTGGCTATCTCGGATTTTTGATTTTTGAAAATTTTGATCACGTGACATCTTGACCTTTTTTTCGAAGAGTGACCTTGATATTATCCCAACTGAAAGTCGCAATTTTGTCTGATGACAATTAAAGCCTTATCAATTGTCATTCATATGCGATAATAAAAAAGTGGCTTTCGGCCTGCGTTGACCTCAGGTCAGGTCATTTTTATGACCTTCCCATTATTACGAGCGGGAGCGACAGCGAGATCTCGAGAACAAAGCAAGATAGCGACAAGCGGTAAACGGCACAGGGTACACATGGATAAGGTCTGCAATTTTTACTCAGGTCATTTTCAGGTCAGGTCAAAGATGACGTCACAGGGGTAAAAAGACAGTCTAAATGGCGGCACTACATATACATGAAGTTTTTCTCGAATAACTTTCGAAGTATCCCAGCTAGGAACAAACTAATAGCACCATCGTGATCCTCTCGTCGATCCGCATCGAAACATGTGTATGTTGACCTCGAAAGGTCAAGGTCAAAGTTGACCTTAGGTCATGTGACCTAAAGGTTATCATATATCGACAATTTTTTAAACCCCACATCTGCTCTCCCGTGAATTTCCGGGAGGCACGAAAGATCTCCTTTTAAAAGTGTCCAATCGCCCGATCCTGATCAAATATGTGTGTTCGTAGGCCTGTTCTGGTATTGCTTTATCTGCCAAGACAGACAAACTTGAGAAAAATCGAGTGATAGTACCTTTTTTGAAGGTCTCTAACCGCCTTGTCTGAAATTCACCGGAGAACAAATGTGGGGTTTAAAAAAAGGTGTCGATATATCATTCGATGGGCCTTGACGAGCTGAACACAATGAGCCTATCCGCGGGGCTGTATCTCAAACCTGTAAGGAGTTATCAGCAAAAAACATTTGGTGACCTTTAATGACGTCACATGACACAAAAAGAGCAACGTCACAGTTGACCAAGAGCAAAATAGATCTCAAGGTAGTCAAAGTTAGTCGCATATGGAGTCACTCATGGTATATTAGGCAATTCCGACGCGTTTTAGTGTAAACATAAGGGAGCTGATTTTCCCTCAATTGACTTATAATGGGGTGGTCAAGAAATTGACCTGACCTCAGGTCATCGGTATCGAAATTCAAAACGTTCTGCCATTGACTTATAAAGGACAGTGCAAAAAAATGACCTGATCTCAGGTCAATGCAGACCGAAAGCCACTTTTTTATTGTCGCATATGAATGACAATTGATCAGGCTTTAATCGTCATCAGACAAAATTGCGACTTTCAGTTGGGAAAATATCAAGGTCACTCTTCGAAAAAAACATCAAGATGTCACGTGATCAAAATTTTCAAAAATCGAAAATCCGAGATAGCCAAAACGTTTGCTGGTTGATTGCGAGTTGAACCATATAAAGTTTTTATCGTAGAAAACCAATAGTTTCTGAGTTATAAGCCGCCAAACATAGGGTTGCAGCGTGACCTCCAGGAATTACCTGAGGCTATATCTCGGAAACCGTTGTTCGAAGAAAAAAATCCTTGGCACAGCTGGCTTCCCCGCCCATAACAACCCAATAGACCAATTTTAAGCAAAAAATAAAATATGAGGGTGTACGGCTTTGATCGATCTATCGTAGAATGCCCCAGATGAGACATGAATGACAGTTGATACAGACGTGCAGTGAACAATGAACATGGCGAGCTTACAGGATTCGTCACGGCATTGTAAATCGAGACTTGACCTCTTTATCTCAACCCTGAGAAACTGCTTTTATTTAACAACCACGTCCCTAAAAATACACTTAAAAATAATAATAATAAAGCGGGTCAGCGAGATACATTGAACTATCTAAGTTAACCATTCAAAACAATACATATAATCATCCGCGTACGGCACCTTGGGTATCCTGGCGTAGCACTTGGGCGGATCATCAGGGTGAAAGTCGATCAGGTGCTTCTTGACGTCATTCTGGTCCTGGTTGGCGTAAGTGCAGTACGCACAGTGGTAGGCGACGTAGCCGTGGCCGATGTAGTGCTGAAACACGGTGACATACATTGGACATGTTGATGCATGTCAATTGATTTAACATACGTTACACGCAAAAGCGAGCTTTCATTGTCGAACTTCGGGCACGCAGAAATTATAGAACAGTGAATGCTATATAATTCCATTTTGTGATCACGAATAATCAAGCATACACTCGACTCGTAGGTCAGACCACGTCGCTGAGCATTAAAAAAACGTAACAAGTTCAATACCGACTTGCACCACCCTACTCTGGCTGCCAATGGTAAAACCCACGGTCCAATCTCACAGTTCCCCAGCCCCTCTCCCACCCTGTCACACACTACACTCTCTGTCGTCTTACCCCGATCAGGGCGGCGAAAGAGTCGGTGCGCAGGCCACAGACGTGACACGGGAACACGCTGGCGTCCGGGTGGGCCTCGGCGTGGTGCTGCTCGAGCACCGCCGCCTTGATGAACGCACGATCGCAGCCGTCTGCCGACAGTGAATAGAGGTAAACAGCTGGTCATATGAATGATAAGGTTAGTGCGAATGAAGATGAGATTTAGGCAGGAGTGTCGTGTGCCATTTTACGGGAAAGGTGTGTTTTGATGTGTGGCAAGGTACAGTCCACAGCTGCAGAAGTAATGTGTGGTTTCAGTCATGGGTATGTTCTGCTTCTGAAGCTTAGGAACGATTAGCCAGACTACAATGAAACTTTGAATGTAGCTTATATGTATCGTCACCCTTGCAGCTGCAACTTTAGCTATTGACATCTTCTTTTCGACCACTCCGCATTAAACAATCGCCAGTAAAAGCCAACCGTTGTGATTGGTAAAACCCTACATTACTTTAGCGGTGGGCTGTACGTACCAGGGAAAACACAAACGACGCTGAAATGACAGTGGCCTTAATTTGTGTGCACACTGCACAGTGCACTGCCTACCAACAACATGATACGCTATGAAAATGACCGCCCCACACCCATTATCTGGTATTTCACCCCTATTCCAGCCAACCAATCGCCCAGCCACTGCGCCCCCCACCGACGCCACGGGCGATCCCTACCCTGAGCGCAGATGTACGGCGTCAGACTAGACTTGCCGACCATCTCTGTCTCGACCAGATGCGAGGAGTTCAGGCCCGGAGGCGGGATGGCCGGGTCAGACTGCAGGACGTACGTCGGCATATCGGCGTGCCAGCGACGCTGAAACGGAGGAAAGCGGAGGGCAGGTCGGTTAGATGAGGCGACGTTCAGTCATGGCGGATATGAGGGTAGACGGAGACGTGATAGTCATGTCCATTCACAGCTGAAACGGTTGATCTGACATATACGGTACCGGTACCAGCTTGAGCTTAACAACGAACAGCATGGCAAGGCAATGCTACAAGCATCATTGAAAAGTTATAACAGATGGTGTCAAAAACTGTCATACATTGACAAAACCGAAAGCAACAAAGGTATTCAACTTAAACCGTTCAAAAAGTCTCCTGTAAGTCCAAAGAACAGTATCCCCTAAGTCCAAGAAAAACTGAAACCAGAGCACGTTACGCCATCACCAGTTCCGTCTCTTACCTGATGCTCGTGCATGTACGCGTTCTGTCGAGTGCGGTAGAAGCAGTAGCCGCACTGGAACTGGGAGATGGCGTGCCGCTTGTACACGTGCTCGGCCAGGTCGGCGCCCTTGTAGCCGCAGTAGACGCACACCAGTCGCGTGTTCATGCACGTGTACGAGGTCTCGTCCGGGGAGCACACGTCGCACTTCTCGTGGTTGCGCAGGTGCAGCTTGAAGAGGGTGCCGTTGTTGGTGGTCAGGCTGCAGTGGACGGCATTGCACTTGTAGGCCAACTTGTGGTGCATGTGAAACATGAGTCGCATCACCTTTGACTGGTCCTTGAGCGTCAGAAAGTGCTTCCACGGCCGCCGCTCGCCCTCCGGCGGAAACGAGAACAGGTCGTCCACCTTCTTGGCAGGCGTTTCTGCAACGGGACCGAGGAGATTATGAAAACATGACAATGTGACCAATGAAAGACAGGTCCAAGGAATCAATCGCGTTGTAATTATTACTTAAAAAAGGACAATCCAGCGCTCAAGGAATACTTTCTCAAAGTGAACACTATATTACACTGAGGTCGGTAAGACTATCAGCTCAGAGGCAGAACACGTCCTGAGCAACGATAAAAGAGTTCATTATTAAGAATGTAGTTAAATGACATGATATGCTTTCAAGGCATGTAGTTTTATTCACCTGTCTGTAGAGGGTCTGCCTCGGCGCCCCCCGTCAGGCTCATTACACTGGAGATCGTCAGGCCGCCGAGACCACCACCCTGCGACAGAACACGATGTCAAAGCACAGTCGGTATGAAGTAGCAACGTCACCTCTGTATGATAACTAAGCCAAACGGTACATTCCCATTGTCTCAAGCGACCATAACCATTCAAAACATCACGTCCTGACTAAAATAAGGTAATCGTGTCCACGAAATCAACTTACTCACTGTAAGCTCAATTCATTTTCATCGATCAAAAACCAGGATAGATATGGTGCTCAAAGTGTGAAATAGCGACTGCAAGTGACTTAAGCAACGGGAAGCGGCGTAATGAGACGTACAGGTGCCATCTCTAACCTCAAGAAGTTTTTTTTTTTACTGATAAAAAGCATCTTAGTCGCGTACTTACCAAAGCGTCATCTGACGAGATGAGATCACCGCTGAGTTTGCGGGTGCGCAGATTCGGCCTGGGCGGCTCTTGTGGCTCGTTGGGGTCATCCGGCCGCACCGCCTGCAGTTCGCACAGAGCATCGTCCAGTGGCTGTGACTGAGCGGCCTCCTCGCTTTCGCCGGTGTCCTCATCCCATGGCGGCTCCGAGTTGGCACCGTCCGAGTCGCTGTCTCCCTTTTTGTCGTCCGGACCCTGCTCTTGGCTCTGCTCCAGATCGCCTTCCTGCTCAGCGGATTCGTCCACCTTGGGCAGCTTCTCTAGGGCGCGTTGTCGCATGTCCTCGAGGTACCGCACTGGTGAGTATTCATGGCACTGCAGTCTCTGCAAAAGCTCGCTCCCCGACGGACCAGGCGGCACCGCCAGCTTCTTTGAGTATTGTGCCATCGGCGCGTTCATGTGGTCTTTCCGGACCGCCTCCTCAGCAGACAGTTCCTTCAGCCAGCGCTCGCCAACTGGAAATACAGTTATGTCATCGATGGGCGGCGGCAGTGAAGCAGCTCGCTTCTCGTCATCCGCCTTCATGCGTTTGAGGGCCTCGCTGACCTTTGCTGTAGCATCCACTCGTACTTCTGCTACTGATGGTTTCGAACTATGGGCCTCGGTTCCCTTATCGGCATCCGATGGCGCTTTGGTAATCGTGCGAGTTAGCACTACCACTGGTTTCTTTTTGAAGCTCTGCGCTAGTTCAGCTGTGGTCGGGGTTTGCTCGGTATCCGTCCTATCCGTGTCTGATTCCACCGTTTCACAAGCATCAGATTCACTTTCAGTGGCTGTCTTAGTGTCGGGAGTGAGCTTGTGGTGCATTTTCGAGCTTGACTCTAGCTGTTGTTTTTCAACACTCTTTGACTGCTTCAGACGATCCACGTCATAGTGACCTTTCTCCTCGCCGGGTTGTTTCACACTGGTCTTGTTTTTTCTTTCTTCCTGTGCTGCGTTACTAGTCTTCTCTACTTCCGACTCCGAATCTGAGTCCGAGATAACGACGACCCGCCGCTTCCGTTTTTGCTTCACGACTAATTCTTCGGTGTCAACAGTTGAGGAACCTGTATCTTCCTGGTGGCATGCCACTGGTGTCTTTGTCTGTGGGTCAGGCACCGCCTGATCAGAAGTAGTTTCTGAAGTTACTGGCTTCTCCGTAATCTCCGGTTCAGACTTCTTGAGCTTCGGAATCTTGAACTTCCCCAAGGATGCTGCTTTGTGTTCTATAGCAGGCTTTTGTGCAGACGTAGATCCACGACTGACTGGTTTCACCGGCTCCCGGCTCTGGAGCCCAGTCTTGACTTTGTCCCCCTTGGTCTTTTCACGTCTGTCCGGCTTGACCTCACGACCATCCGGCTTGGTTTTCTGCAGCTGTTTCTTCTTCTCTTTGCGTTTCATCATTTCTTCTACGTGTCTCCTGAGTATTTCATTCTCCTGCACAGCTTTTACCAGTTCCTGAACGGAGTATTTCTTTAACTGTTCACTTACTTTTTCCACTGTCGCATCAGGTATCTTGGAAGTTTCAGGTGCTTTATCAGATCTGGAATCACCTTGCTTCCTCGGGTCTTTAACAGAACCCGTTTTCGTTTCCAGATCCATGGAAAATGATTCAGTGCGGTTCCTCCCCGTCGAATCTTGAGACGTCTTTCCTGTCACTTTTTCTTTCGGGTCCACTTTGTCAGTATCCCCATGCCTAGAGACATTTCGATCGGCTTTGTGGGACGATGGACGATCTTGAGAATGCTCTCTGCGATGATGGCTTGAAGAAGATCTAGATGGTTCGTGACGACTTCTTCCATGACTAGAATGCTTTAGCTCTGCTTTTCGCTTTTTTCTCCTCTCGATCTCAGCCTTCTTCCGCTCTTCAAGGCGCCGCCGTTTCGCGTCCGCTAATGTTTCGCCTTTCCTTATCACAAGTCTGCTTTCACTGGAGTGAGGACGATCCCTTCGATCTCCTTTATCACGTCGATCATCAGTTGAGCCATGTCTTCTGCTACCGGACTCACCAGATCTGTGCCGACTTCTAGATGAGGAGCTGCTGCCTCCTTCTCGTCTTTTCTCCTCTGAGGTCCCACCAGACGTGCTACCTGCACCCAGGTCTCTGTTCAGCTCTTCCAAATCCTCTTTAGAGAGCGGTGGCTTCGACATAAAAGATGGCCTGAAGGTCGGCTTCTTTCGAATCTCGCTCCACTCATCTTCCGGATTGTATGCATCACTCTCTGCGGGTAATGCCGTCGCGCCACGGGGATCTGTGCCATGATCACTGCACCCCGGAACCGCGATATCATCAACACGCAGCTCACTATCGGGGGTATCAGTGGAGCTTTCACGTTCAAGCGGAATGATTTTCGGACCCCTCGAAGCAGATGCTTCGAGGGGTCCGAAAGCATCTGCTTCGAGGTGGCATGCCACTGGTGGCTTTGTCTGTGGGTCAGGCACCGCCTGATCAGAAGTAGTTTCTGAAGTTACTGGCTTCTCCGTAATCTCCGGTTCAGACTTCTTGAGCTTCGGAATCTTGAACTTCCCCAAGGATGCTGCTTTGTGTTCTATAGCAGGCTTTTGTGCAGACGTAGATCCACGACTGACTGGTTTCACCGGCTCCCGGCTCTGGAGCCCAGTCTTGACTTTGTCCCCCTTGGTCTTTTCACATCTGTCCGGCTTGACCTCACGACCATCCGGCTTGGTTTTCTGCAGCTGTTTCTTCTTCTCTTTGCGTTTCATCATTTCTTCTACGTGTCTCCTGAGTATTTCATTCTCCTGCACAGCTTTTACCAGTTCCTGAACGGAGTATTTCTTTAACTGTTCACTTACTTTTTCCACTGTCGCATCAGGTATCTTGGAAGTTTCAGGTGCTTTATCAGATCTGGAATCACCTTGCTTCCTCGGGTCTTTAACAGAACCCGTTTTCGTTTCCGGATCCATGGAAAATGATTCAGTGCGGTTCCTCCCCGTCGAATCTTGAGACGTCTTTCCTGTCACTTTTTCTTTCCGGTCCACTTTGTCAGTATCCCCATGCCTAGAGACATTTCGATCGGCTTTGTGGGACGATGGACGATCTTGAGAATGCTCTCTGCGATGATGGCTTGAAGAAGATCTAGATGGTTCGTGACGACTTCTTCCATGACTAGAATGCTTTAGCTCTGCTTTTCGCTTTTTTCTCCTCTCGATCTCAGCCTTCTTCCACTCTTCAAGGCGCCGCCGTTTCGCGTCCGCTAATGTTTCGCCTTTCCTTATCACAAGTCTGCTTTCACTGGAGTGAGGACGATCCCTTCGATCTCCTTTATCACGTCGATCGTCAGTTGAGCCATGTCTTCTGCTACCTGACTCACCAGACCTGTGCCGACTTCTAGATGAGGAACTGCTGCCTCCTTCTCGTCTTTTCTCCTCTGAGGTCCCACCAGACGTGCTACCTGCACCCAGGTCTCTGTTCAGCTCTTCCAAATCCTCTTTAGAGAGCGGTGGCTTCGACATAAAAGATGGCCTGAAGGTCGGCTTCTTTCGAATCTCGCTCCACTCATCTTCCGGATTGTATGCACCACTCTCTGCGGGCAATGCCGTCGCGCCACGGGGATCTGTGCCATGATCACTGCACCCCGGAACTGCGATATCATCAACACGCAGCTCACTATCGGGGGTATCAGTGGAGCTTTCACGTTCAAGCGGAATGATTTTCGGACCCCTCGAAGGAGATGCATCAACGTCTGGTGGACTCTCTGCTTCAGCGTCATCCAGGGTTTTTGTCATGTCGATCATCAGCTTTCGGAGAATTTCTCTTTCCCTTTCAAACTTTTTGTCCTTATGGTCATTTCCAGCAAACGCCCCTGGGATCTGAGCCACGACTTCGGGACTTGGACTACGAGGTTGGTCCATTTCGTTGAAACTCGCGGAGGGCGAGGACATGCTTATCCGTTCCACGAATGAGCTGAGTGGTGGACTGTGAACCGGAGGGTCGTCGGACAGTCGGCTGAAACAAAACACAAACATAACTGTTAGTGTTGTAAGAACAGGTACCGATCCAATACAGGATCGGGGTATGTATGCATCTGCAAAGTATGGTCGTTAATTCTAATGTATTCTAGGCATTCGAGGCGGTCATTCAAATCCTTGGACTTAACAGAAATAGAAACCTGGTGGTTACATTTGATGAGACAAAGCTACGATTCATCGTACATGCTTACACATCTTATTACGGAGCGAGCGAAGCGAGCGTAGTCTTTCCTTAGATTAACGGAAATTTCTGAGTATGAGAGGCCGGCCGGCCGGCCGGCCGGCCGGCCGGCCGTGGTCACGCTTTTGCGAGGCTTATATCTCAGCAACCACTTGACCGATTTACACGCGGTAATTTTTGTAGGGTAGCTTCATTCCTTCTACCAAGTATTGGACTGTTCCCGATGCATGGTGGTGACCCCTTATGCACGTGGCACGTGCAAAACGAAGAGGTGTCACTTTTGTAATTGTTGCAATATCTCGGTAACTACTTGGCCGATTGCGCTGAAAGTTGGCATGTAGGTAGGCACCCACTAGGCACTGCATATCCATGTGCCAGAGTTGGGGTGCTCCTGCACGTGCGCACGTGCAGGGGTCGTTTCCAGATCTCGAGAACGGCTCGACCGATTGCGCTCAAATTTGGTACACAGTTAGGGACCGGTTAGTAGGGTGCCGTGCACAAGTCAGTTGTGACCCATTTTGCACGTGCGCACGTGCAGGGTGCCGCTTCCAGATCTCGAGAACGGCTGGGCCGATTGTGCCCAAATTTGGCACGTCGCTAGAGACCGGTTAGTAGGGTGCCGTGCAAAAGTCAGTTGGAGGTACCCCCTCGCAATTTCGCACGTGCAAGGCCCACCCTCTCGCTCGCTCCGTTAGTCGCCCCAAAAGGCGTTATACTGGTACACGGTAAAAGGCTTTGCAGCGCCTTTTCAGGACCCGATGTTTATTGATTCGATTTGATTACCATGGGCGTCGAAACCGGGGGGACGGGGGGGACGCGTCCCCCCAGTCGAGGAATCCGGAGGGGGGGACGTCCACCGCAAAAATATCCCCATGAATGATTTAAAAAGTGACCTACGACATTGGTGTATTGTCGTTTTGGGATGAAATTGCGGATACCTACTCGTATACAAACTGAATCTGCGAATTGCTGACACCGTACCCTTGCTTACAGGGCTGCGAAGTAGATGATTTTGGTAACTCCGACTCCGGCTTAAAAAAAAAAACGCTCGGAGTCCCCACTCCATCTCCGACCACGGCATCCCTCGGCCCGCATCGGAGTGAAAAAAACATGTGATGTGATGCTTTTGTCTCTTTGAACGTTTCTTGGCACATTAAAAGATAACATTGCCTACGAGGTGCAGCTCTGGACTGTCCGGCCCAGGTCCTCGATAGGGAGCCAAAGCTCCAGTTGTAGGGGCGACCATATCCAACAAGGGCTGAAGATCTGTCCCAAAATCTCAGAGTGCAGTAGGACAACAGCTTGCAGAGACCACACATTTTACATAGGATATTCGTAATAGTCAAGACCTTCAGCTCACTCTCAAACGGCCCTCTTCCCGTTCGAGGCCATCCGACAGCAGAAGGTCTCACCATGGCCTTTGAACGCTTGATGCTTGTTTGTTTGTTTGTTTTGTTGGGTTAGGCCCTTTCGGTCGACAAGACCATTGCAGAGCCGGAAGGATGATAGGAATTAGGGGGAGACATTGGTCTGGGCAGGCACCCTAGAGAGTCGCCGGGGCTGAGCCCGTCCAAATGGACAGGCCGATCAGCCCCCCAAGCACTCTCTGCACCCGGCTACGGGGTGCAGCTCCCTCGGGAGCAGCGGTGCCGCTCCAAGGGAGCAGCCCGCATGAGATAAAGTTGCCTGTCCAGCCCGGAGTGGGGTTGCGGAGTGGAGGAGAAGGATTTCTGTTTCCTGAGGATAGAAGCACGGATAGGTGCTTGATGCTTGAGGGTGAGAGGACCTCGTCCTGGTCTGAGAGAGCCCAGGAGGACGTAATGCTCAGTATGGTCCGTAGTTGCGGCGCCCGCCACGGGCGGCGCTGGCCCGGCGAGCGGCGGTGACCCGACCGCTCGCCGGGTCAGTCTGGGCGCGTGCTCCGCCGAGTCACGTCCGCAGTGAGCAGTGAGTAGCCGCCGGTATTCGAGGCGGCTACGAGCCAATCCGTGCGGATGGCGGAAGTGGAGGAGCTCAAGTGTCAGGTGGCCTCTATCACAGAGAGGTTTGACCGGCTCGAGGGTCTCGTCGAGAAGATCTCGAAACAGCTAAGTGCTTCTCAGGGCCTATTTTAACATGTTAACTGGGGGGGCAAATGCCCCCTCACTCAACAGAATTGCCCCCCCAGTCGTCGAGATTTGCCCACTATAAAAATGGGCATAAAGGAATAGGGTGACAAACATACTACTGTGACTTGTTTTGCAATGGATGTCAAATGAGTCAATCTGCAAGTAATGACCAGTGGTGGATCCAAGGGTGGGTCATATGGGTCATGACCCCCCGCCCTCTTGGGGCCCGGGGACATCACAGGCCTGCCAGGGGCACCACCCGCCTGTCAGGGACACCACAGGCCTGTTGGGAGCACCATCGACCCAGCAAGAGCACCATAGGTCTGCCAGGGGCACCACAGACCTGCCAGGGGCCCCACCGACCTCACAGGGGCACCTTGGGCCTGTCAGGGGCACCACTGGCCTGTCGGGGGCACCACAGGCCTGTCAGGAGCACCATCAGCCTAGCAAGAGCACCATAGGTCTGCCAGGGGCACCACAGACCTGCTAGGGGCCCCACGGGACTCGCAGGGACACCACCTTGGGTCTGTCTGAGGGGTATTTACCACCACAGGCCCGCCAGGGGCACCACAGGCCTGCCAGAGGCATCACAGGCCTAGCAAGGGCACCACGGACCTGTCAGCGGCACCACGGGCCTGTCGTGGGCACCTCAGGCTTGTCAGGCCCAAGGGACACCACAGTACTTTCAGGGGCACCACAGGCCTGTCAGGGGGACCAGAGGCCTAGCAAGGACACCACATGCCTGGCAGGGGCACCACCAGCCTCGCAGGGATACCTTGGGCCTGTTAGTGGCACCACGTGCCTGTCGGGGACACTCCAGGCTTGTCAGGAGCACCACAGTCCTGTCAGGGCCCAGGGGCACCAGCGGCCTAGCAGAGGCACCACCGGCCTAGCAGGGACACCACCGGCCTCGCAAGGGCATCATGGGCCTGTCAGGGGCACCACGGGCCTGTCGTTGGAACTTCAGGCTTGTCTGAAGCTGACTTCACCTGTCATTGGGTTTTTACCTGTTGGTGATCAATACATCATACAATCATACAATCAGGGGCACCACAGTTCTTTCAGATGCACCGGCTGCCTAGCACCATGGCACCATGTTTGGCCGGGATCGTGATTCGGCGTATGTCGCCTCGCATTAGCCGCGCGTTTGCAGTCTTTTCGTGGTTTCAAACGTTCAAACATGGGATATGCTGTTGCTCCCATGCATTAGGGTGGGTGTCAAGGTCACCGGAAGGTCAGGTCATTTACCTTTGATGACCTCGGTTCACATTTTCGAGTTTTATATGTTTCTAGGCTAGTTTTTGGAGCTGAATTCGAATTTAGCAACCATTTGACCGTTTACAAAGTAGTTTTGGTGCCTTTGTAACATGTTACGAAGCTGTCAGACGCGGTTGCCACCTACTACGAATACCCGACAAAACCCTTACTGGTTGAACTGACCTGACATGACCCGACCTGGCCTAAATGCATGAAGACATCATCTATGATCATAACTAACATGATATTCGTGATCAGCACCCCGAAAACAAACATAGCAGCCACCCTTTACGACGCTCTAACAGGTCCCAATTTTTCCGACTTTTGGGTCATTGACCTGACCTGGAAGGTGAACCGATGACCTAGGACCTTAAAATTGGGTATCATCTGCTTCCTCTCGTGACGGGCAACATGCTAGTTTTTTCCGCGAAGCTCTAGCTCGATCAGGGGCGAAACGGCAAGGGGGAGGGTCCAACGGACCCCCCCCCATATACGTTCGCAGCTGGAAAAACACCACTACGGGCGAGGGTTAATGGATTATTAAAGACAATTTTCCAGGTTGCCCCCCCAGTCAAATTCCCGATAGGCGTTATCACAAGTGTATTCGCGGCCATTGGGGCGACGTAAGAAAAGAAGAAAACAACTGGCCCCAAGAACTTTAAATTATCAGTTAGCATGCACCTTTTCCTTGATGTGTAGAGAATTTACCATTAATTGTTAAAGAAAATTGCATTTAAAATCTTCCATTTGTGCTTTTTTCATCGTTTGCACAATACGTTCTTTTACTAAGCTAAAAACACTAATTAGAAAAAGTTCCCGCATCATCGTCAAGAACAATAGGGAAGACTTGAAGTTAATACAATAATCTAAACGGTTTTGTAATCTATGTGAAGACACTTCTAAAATTGTCTGTAGAAATATTGAAGGCAAAAGTTCAACTTTTTCACAAGACTGATGCCTATAAACCTATTCAACGTGTGACAACTCAGCCGGTATTTCGTCGCCTACAGCCCAGCTTTCTCTAGTGACCGATAGAGGCGCTGCTATCGATGTCCGCCCGTGCCGCCTAACGCCTTAAAATAGGCTCTGGTGCTTCTCAGTGCACAGAGCAAAGCGATAAAGACGACAATGTCGGTCGTACTCGTCGACAGGTCGTCCCTGACGAGCAGCAGCATCAAGTGATGCCAAGTGCCGTGCTGGGTTCATTCAGCGAAGTGCAGGCCGAATTTCGGGCCATTCGCGACAGCGTCGCCAAGGTGAAGCTACCGCCAGACCTGTTGGTTGGCGACAGTCGTGCGGGCGTCAGCAGGGCAGACCTGCCGAGATTCAACATCATACAGAAGTCGGCGCGCTATCAGGAGACGGTACTCAAGCTCCTGTCCGCCTGCGATCCGGAGGACGCGGCGCTCAACCAGGTATCGGCTGTCAGCCTGGCACACCTGCGTTACCTGCAGGAGGAGTACACGCAACTTCTGGTATCAGCCCAGTTCGACGACGGGACGGCAAAGCTGTTTTCTACGCTACAGCAAAATCCGGCAGCTTTCACGCCGAACTCCCTCGAGAACCTTCAGCGAGCCGTGACCATCGCCGGGGCTCGGCAATCTCACCAGGTCAGTGGATCACGTGGCCGGGGATCTTTCCCGGCGTGGCGAGGCGCCCGCGGGCCCGGCCGCGGCTTCCAGTACGGCCCCCGGCGGGGTGGCGGTCCAAGGTTCCAGCCGGCGGACTGGGGTCAGCCACGTGACCGGTTTGACCTCGACCTGTCTCGTGGACGAGGTCAGCCCGGGAGGGGCTCGGGAGTGACATATGATAACTGACCGGAGTCTGTTCTACGCGTGTGAACAATGGGGCTCAACGTAGCAGCGTGGGAGCGCATCGGCGCTAACAGTGTAGTGACAGACTGGATTGCAAATGGTGTGCGTATTCCGTTCTCGTCCGAGCCAGAGCCGCGATTGTTTCAGAATCCCTCATTTGATAGTGCTCAGCGTAGGTTTCTCGATGCTGAACTGTCCGATTTGGTGCAAAAAGGTGTTGTGTCGGAGGTTCATGATGTGCCGTTGTGTGTCTCAGCGCTGAAAGTTGTTCCGAAAAAGAATGGTAAGCATCGTCTGATATGTGATCTGAGATATATTAATGCGCATTGTGATGTCCCGCATTTTTCTTCTGAGAACGTGTCTGTGCTTGCCGAAGTTATGCGAGATAACGAGTGCGCAGTTACTATAGATCTAAAAGATGGGTTCTACCATTTTCCCGTTCATCCGTCGTTTAGAAAGTACCTCGGCTTCGCGTACGGAGGGCGATGGTTCGTCTGGAATCGTTTGCCGTTCGGCTGGGCCAATTCTCCGCATTATTTTCACAAGTGCATTCGAGTCGTGATAGAATACCTGAGGCGCGATCATCACATGTCAATCATGGCGTATGTTGACGATTTTTTACTGGCCGCTCCCAAGTCACAGATATCGCAGCACTTACAAATTTGCATGGATACTTTTCGCGCGCTGGGACTGCATATAAATAGTCAGAAGTCGTCGCTCGAGCCTTCCGAGCAGGTTACCTACCTGGGTTTTGATATCCGCTGCGCAGCCGCTGACCGGCCGCCGATTATTACCGTTCCTAAATCGAAGGTTGCAAAACTAAAGCAGGATATTTCTCGCGCGCTGAAACGGACACATATTTCAGCTCGAGTTTTAGCTCGCATAGCAGGACGCTGCATCAGCATGCTGGCGGCGGTGTTTCCTTGCAAGCTGAAGCTGCGGAACGTTTATCGGCTTTTAAATTCCAGGCGATCGTGGGAAGACTTGCTGCTGTGGACGGACGAGGCAGTAGCGGACTTGCGGTGGTGGATCGAGTCGCTGGACGGCTGGAACGGCAGGGTGCTGCTGCCGCCGGCACCGTTCGATGTGCAGCTGAGCACGGACGCGTCGGCTTCCGGCTGGGGAGCGCTGCTCTCCGATCCGGCGGGCAAAGCCGCTTCCGGATTTTGGACCGTCTCGGTGAGCCACGAATCTTCCAACTTTCGGGAGCTTTTAGCTGTATATTTGTCATTGTGCTCGTTGAAAGAGTATATTGCGGACAAAAATGTCGAGGTTCTCTCAGACAACGTCACGACGGTCGTATCAATAAATAAATTTGGCTCTGCAGACGTGCGTTTAGACGCCATTTCTCAGGCAATTTGGTCTTTTGCCTTTCAGAATCACGTGATGCTGACGGCACATCACATCAGTGGCGAGTCGAACGTGCAGCCGGACGCACTATCCCGGCTGCCGCTCCGTCACGAGTGGTACTTACACCCAGAGGTTTTCCGGCAGCTCGATCGGATGTTTGGGCCCCATTCCATCGATCGTTTCGCAACTTGTACGACGGCGCTCCTACCCGTGTACAACAGTCGGTTCTCAGACCCGGGGACAGCAGGGGTAGATGCGCTGGGTCAGCCGGACTGGGCCGAGCACAACAATTTCGTAAACCCGCCTTTCAGACTGATACCGCGCGTTCTGGACACGATCGAAGCGTATCGAGCCGTGGCGACACTGATAGCACCGTTCTGGCCGGCGCAGCCCTGGATGGACAGGCTGAGACGCATGAGCATCGCCCCGCCACTGCGGCTGCCGCCGGTAGCCCGAGCATGCGTGCCGCTGCTGCCGGGCTACGAGACGATCGAACCACACAGGAACCCGCGCTGGAGGCTGTACGCCTGGCGGATTTGTGGCGCACGCAACTGAGCGCGCGCGGCTGGTCGCAAACCGCTACTAGTTTAGTGACACTATGCCTGGCAGATTCCACGCAGCTCACGTATAATCGCTATATTCAAGACTGTCATGATTTTTGTGTCAATCGTGCTGTCCAATTTCCCCCGGAGGATACGGCGATTTTGGCCGATTTTCTGCTGTCGCGGTGCAAGTCTTCAGATAGGCCGCATTCCACATTGCGATGCATATCCGCAGCGTTAGGAGCAGTTTATGAGGCATGTGGTGAAACAAACTTGCTATCAGACTCATATATTTCCCGGCTGTGCCAAGCGCTCGTCAAGTGTGGAACAGAGGTGCCAATGAGTCGATCCCGTGTCATGGATGTGTCCGCGTTCACGTCGCCTGTTCCGCTCGTGGCCGTGTAATGATGAGTTGACGCTGAAGCAACTGCGCATGAAAACTATCACGCTGTTGGCCATTGTTTTGGTTTTGATGCTACGCCCGTCGCATGTGGCTCCTAAAGCGACGTCTTTCGATCAGGAATCGGGTGTCGCATCTCGGTTTGTCATGTCGACTGATCATGTGAGCTTTAGTTCTGACGGTGCTGCGACTGTGTATTTCTTCGGTGTGAAAAATGACACGCAGAGAACTGGATTCGAAGTCACGCTGCCGGCGTGTTCTGACGCTCAGGTGGATCCCGTGGAGGCGTTGCGTGTGTATATTGCTCGTACGGCGGCGGTGCGCTGCCCGCGAACGCGGCCGCTTTTCCTCAGTCTGGTGCGACCGTTTGGCGCCGTATCCGCCAGTGCCGTGGCGGGCGTGCTAGGGGACGCTATCGTAGCGGCCGAGAAGTTTGGTCTGTCGCCAGGCCATCGGCCCAAGGACTTTCGGCCGACGGGGGCGACGTAGGCCGTGCGCCGTGGATTTAAGGCCGACGACGTGCAGAGACTCGGCCGTTGGAAGACTCGCTCTGTGTTTATGGACCATTATGTCCACAACAAGGTTCACGATTCGTTTACCGATAGCATGCTACAGTGAAATCTCGCTAAGGGTGTGCATTATGTTTATTGTTTTGAACAATACATGTTCATTCCGCCCGTGGCGGGCGCCAGCAACGTTGGTTTTCTGAAACCGTAGTTGCGGCGCCCGCCACGGGCGGCGCTGGCCCGGCGAGCGGCGGTGACCCGACCGCTCGCCGGGTCAGTCTGGGCGCGTGCTAGAGGAAGGAGACTGAGAGGTAGAGATGTGTGCAGAGAGGATTATGGTGTGTTACTGCGGCGTGTAGTCGGCGACGCTCCAGACAAGTGCATTATGTTTATTGTTTTGAACAATACATGTTCATTCCGCCCGTGTCGGGCGCCAGCAACGTTGGTTTTCTGAAACCTACATTGGTCTTACCATGACTCCTACTCGTACAATCACCACAGCCAACAGAATCTCCAGCTCTTATTCGACCCATCATCGGGGATGACGTTGACTCTGACTTCAGAGTTGAAGTCTGTTACGATTTTGGTGACTCCAACTCCGTATCCCGGACCAAAACAGTCGACTACGACCGAAGTCGACTACGACCGAAGTCGACTACGACCGAAGTCGACTCCGACCCCGCAGTCCTGCAGCTACACTGCACAGAAGTTGGAAAAAAGCTGTACCTATGGTTGATAGCGGTTACCAGAGGACCACACAATTTTTTAGAGGCAGGGCTGCTGGACTTGGTGTCGGTGACCAGACCCTAACTGTCCTGGTATCAAACTTATTACGCGGGATGCAAAATTTATGCGTTTTGGGACTGTTTTGCCAAGAGTTTTTGCCAATTTTCGCGGCGCTTCGCGCCGCCAATTCATACACAGGTAGACAAGAGTGTGACTAATAACGCCTCCACGCGAGAACATGAGAACATGTGTATTGTGTATGCGTTACAAGTAGTGCATAGGCCTGAAATTGTACGGTAAACTAACTAACTTTTGGGTTTTTAGTCAGCCAATCCGTCCCCCCCCCCAGTCAAAAATCCGTGGCGACGCCCCTGTTGATTACGATGCATACGAGTGGAAATATTCTTGGAAACCGGACGAATAAAATGAAATGAATAAAAAAGGATGGTAATGGCGCTGCTTGAATACCTTGCGTCTGATGAACTGGGGGCAGAGCGCTGAACTTCACGGGGAGGCGATGGCCTCTCCCACTCCGATTCCGGATACAGCATGCGCCTTTGATGCTCTGGTGGCGGCGGCCGTTGGGGCTGTGGTCGCGCTGGCTGAGGTAGTTCCATAACATCATCATCCGATTCCTGAAATGCCAGACGAAATCAGGAATGACTATTGTAATACGTCCAAACATCACTACTATACAAACGACAATATTCAAGGCTGAACTGTATTGAACAGTTTTCTTTTTTAGTGAACATGTATATCAACTCAAGACGGGGACGAAAGTCCGACAACTAACATCAGTGATACTAACACCTCGTCTCAAGCATTCAGAAGAACTGAACATGTATATGCTTCACAATAACACTTAACACATGTTCACCGTGAGTTTCAATGGCTCACGATTGTACTTTACACAGTCACTCCCAGGGCCTCGGCTAAGGAATTTTGACTGGTGGGCCACTTGGGCAGCGACATGGACTGACCTTCGTAGCCATAGCCCCCCCCCCAATTTTCGGTTTCTCCCCAGATTTCGGCCACTTTATTCTGCAAAAAACGTCAGGATGGCATTCAAAAAATGTATAAAAAAAACGGGGCTCGACCCCCCCCCCCACCCGACTCTTCAGAGAGAGAGAGAGAGAGAGAGAGAGAGAGAGAGAGAGAGAGAGAGAGAGAGAGAGAGAGAGAGAGAGAGAGAGAGAGAGAGAGAGAGAGAGAGAGAGAGAGAGAGAGAGAGAGAGAGAGAGAGAGAGAGAGAGAGAGAGAGAGAGAGAGAGAGAGAGAGAGAGAGAGAGAGAGAGAGAGAGAGAGAGAGAGAGAGAGAGAGAGAGAGAGAGAGAGAGAGAGAGAGAGAGAGAGAGAGAGAGAGAGAGAGAGAGAGAGAGAGAGAGAGAGAGAGAGAGAGAGAGAGAGAGAGAGAGAGAGAGAGAGAGAGAGAGAGAGAGAGAGAGAGAGAGAGAGAGAGAGAGAGAGAGAGAGAGAGAGAGAGAGAGAGAGAGAGAGAGAGAGAGAGAGAGAGAGAGAGAGAGAGAGAGAGAGAGAGAGAGAGAGAGAGAGAGAGAGAGAGAGAGAGAGAGAGAGAGAGAGAGAGAGAGAGAGAGAGAGAGAGAGAGAGAGAGAGAGAGAGAGAGAGAGAGAGAGAGAGAGAGAGAGAGAGAGAGAGAGAGAGAGAGAGAGAGAGAGAGAGAGAGAGAGAGAGAGAGAGAGAGAGAGAGAGAGAGAGAGAGAGAGAGAGAGAGAGAGAGAGAGAGAGAGAGAGAGAGAGAGAGAGAGAGAGAGAGAGAGAGAGAGAGAGAGAGAGAGAGAGAGAGAGAGAGAGAGAGAGAGAGAGAGAGAGAGAGAGAGAGAGAGAGAGAGAGAGAGAGAGAGAGGAGAGAGTAGGGACCCACAACCCTCTCAGTGGTGATACTCCCGCGGTGCACATAAAATCGCACAAGCACGGAATATATAGTCTACGACATATCGTAGTACATATCGACATATCAACATGTCGTAGACTATATATTCCGTGGCACAAGTATGCACACAATATTGACGCAGATTATAAAACGTTGGACGATAACTTACGGCCGTGAGTGGATCGCTCGCCGACTAGTCGGAGATTCAGAAGCGGTCGGACGGGATCGGGCGTTGTTGGGTGGATCGGGAGGAATTGTGAACAGCACGAGTGCAACTTTATATATAAAGTGGGTTGTAGCAGGAACCCCAAAAGGGGGTTGTAGCAGCAACCCCAACATCTCTGAAAATGATCATTAAGCCTATTGGTGTCGCATGGAAAATAATTGACTCAAAAGCCCAAGCGCACTGCGCAACCCTGATATTTTCTTTAAAAAAAAAACTAAGTTATGTACACGTTCACTTTTGGTGAACAGTGTCCCAAACTTCAGATTTCTCTTGGGTGTCTGTGTGGAAAATTCGAGCCGCCAAAATGTGAAAGTGGAAAATTATCCATTCTTATTCTTGAGTGTCTTCTTCAGCCCAAATGAGAAATTTTTGGAACGCTGACTGTGAACGGTTCGAAATTCGTCCAACTGGTCAGATGTGTGCAGGGGCGGATCCAGGAAAACTCCAAGGGGAGGGTCATGAATCGAAGTGGTGCCCCTACCTATACCCAAAATTAAAAACTCAACGGATTTCGTCCACTTCATTTTGGTGGTGCCCCCATTTTCAGTTTTTTTTATTTTTTTATTTTTAGTCAGTATCTTAACTCTTACCCACAACCACATTTACCAATTGTAAGCAAGTATATATGAATGTGTTATGTGTATATATGTTGTGGACGCTGAGTAGTGAGTACTTACCAGGAACGTTATCAGGTAAGCGAATCGTTGTCAGTCCGACGAACTTGACCCTGGCGTCTAAAGGGTCTGTCCTTGACACTTCAGGCTTGTCAGGGGCACCCAAGTCCTTCAAGGGACACCACAAACCTGCCAGGGGCACCTACGGCCTTGTAGGGGCGCCACAGGCCCGCCAGGAAGCAGGGGCACCACAGGCCTGCCAGGAAGCAGGGGCACCACAGGTCTAGCAAGTATACACGACAGGCCTGTCAGGGGCACAACGGGCCTGTTGGGCCCATGAGCACCCCTTGGGGCAGGGGCACCACAGTCCTTCCAGGGGCACCGCAGGCCTGTGAGGGGCACCAGCGGCCTAGCAGGGGTACCAGTCAACACAGGCCTGCCAGGGGGGCACCACAGACCTGCCAGGGGCACCAGAGGCCTGTCAGGAGCACCACCGACCTCGCAGGGGTAACTTGGGCCTGTCAGGGGCACCACGGGCCTGTCGAGAGGCACTTCAGGCTTTTCAGGGGCACCATAGTCCTCTCCGGGCGCAGGGGTAGCGGGGGCACTAGAGGCCTGCCAGGGGCACTACAGGCCTAGCAAGGGCACCACTGTTCTATCAGGGGCACCACGAGCCTGTCATAGCCAGGCATCTCAGGCTTGTCAAGGCCCAGGGGCACCACAGGTCTGTGAGTGGCACCAGCGACCTAGCAGGGGCACCAGTCAACACAGGTCTGCCAGGGGCGCCACAGACCTGCCAGGGGCACCACAGACCTGCCAGGGGCACCAGAGGCCTGCCAGGGGCACCACAGGCCTAACAAGGGCATCACGGGCCTGTCAGGGGCACCTCAGGCTTGTCAGGGCCCAGGGACCCCACAGTCCTTCCAAGGGCACCGCAAGCCTGTCAGGGGCACCAGAGGCCTGCCAGGGGCACCACAGTCCTTCCAGGGGCATTACAAGCCTGTCAGGGGCACCAGAGGCCTAGCAAGGGCACCACCGGCCTGCCATGGACACCACAGGCCTGCCAGGGGCACCACCGGCCTTGCAGGGGCGCCTCAGGCCTGTCAGGGGCACCACGTGCCTGCCGGGGACACTTCAGGCTTGTCAGGGGCGTTACAGTCCTGTCAGGGCCCAGGGGCGCCAGGCCCGTGGTGTCCCTGCTAGGCCTGTGGTGCCCCTGGCGGTCCTGTGGTGCCCCTGTCAGGACTGTGATACCCCTGATAGGCCGGTGGTGCCCCTGGCAGGTCTTTGGGCCCCCGGGCCTCAAGGGGGGGCCATGACCCATGTGACCCCCCCCCCTTGGATCCGCCCCTGGATGTGTGACTGCAAGCATCATACCGGTCGTAAAGACGCATAATATCGCTTGCAGACTTCAATCGGCTGGAAGTCGCCGACACTACCTCTAGTTTGACTCTGGCTTATATCGTGTCTATCGGCGAGCCGTCTGAGATCGCTCGCAGGCTTATCCCCGACCGTCTGAACTGGT